TTGCTAGATGGAGCAGTTGCTTTCTCAAAGTGTTCTTCTTCAAGGACTAGGAAATTAGCCCTGTCTTACAAATACACTTCTAGTGCATTAAACCATTGACAAATGCAGCGCGGCCATTCTAAACTAATTTGTCTTAAGTGGGTATCTGATGGCTCAATTTATCTGAACTTAGTCATTTGGATGTGGCTCAGCTGCTCTGTTCAAAGCAAATCATCTGGATGCATCTGCTTTTTCTTACTCTGAGCACTGGTCTAGGACTGTATGAAAGAGGGCTGAGCTAACTCAAATAACCACAGAATCATAGAATGGCTTGGGATTGGAAGGGATCATTCAGTTCCAACCACCCTGACTTGGGCAGGGACACCTTCCACTAGACCAGGATACTCAGAACCCCATCCAGACTGGCCTTGAACACTTCAGGGGTGGGGCAGCCACACCTTCTCTGGGAAACCTGCTCCAGTGCCTCATTACCCTCACAGTAAAGAATTCCTTCTAATCTAGTTCTACCCTCTTTCAGTTTAAAACTGTTACCTTCATCCTATCACTACACTTTCTGATAAAGCATGCCTCCCCATCATTCCTATAGACTCCCTTTAGGTACTGGAAAGTACTCTAAGGTCTCCCTGGAGCCTTCTCTTCTCCAGTTTGAACAACACCAGAACAACCAGATCTCCCATGTCCTTCCTGAAAGGACACACATTTTCCTTAGTCTTTCTTTTATCACCAACGTACATATAGAAACTTTTCTTATTGCCCTGGATGTCCCTGGCCAGATTTCATTCTATCAGGGCTTTAGCTTTCCTAACCTGATCCCTGGCTGCTCAGACAATTTCTCTGTATTCCTCCCAGGCTGCTTGTTCTTGTTTCCACACTCTGTAGGCTTCCTTTTTGTGTTTGAGTTTGTCCAGGAGCTCCTTGTTTCTCCATGCAGGCTTTGTGGTATTTTGGCCTGGATTCTTCTTTGTTGGGATGCATCACTCCTGAGCCCAGAGGAGGTGATCCTTGAATATTTACCAGCTTTCTTGGGCCCTTCTTCCCTCCAGGACTTTATTCCATGGGACTCTACCAAGCAAAGTTTGTTCTCCTGAAGTCCAGAGTAGCAAGTTTGCTGTGTGCCTTCCTCACTGCCCTGAGGATCTTGAACTCCACCATGTCATGATCGCTGCACCTCTGGCTGCCCTTGAGCTTCGCATTCAGCACCAGACCCTCCATGATGGTGAGAACAAAGTCCAGCATAGCACTGCTCCCTGTTGGCTCCTCTATCACTTGGAGAAGGAAGTCATCATCATGGCATTCCAGGATACTCCTGGGTTGCTTATGCCCTGCTGTGTGTCCCTCCAGTAGATACTGGGGTGGTTGAAGGCCCAAGTGAGAACCAGGGCTTGTGAACATGAGGCTGTTCCTGTCTGTCTGTAGAGGGCCTCATCCACTTGGTCTTCCTTTTGGAGCAGCCTGTGGCAGACCCCCCCCATAATGTGACCTGTTCCTGCCCTTCCTTTAATCCTGACCCATAGGCTCTCATCCACCCCAAGGCAAAGCTCCATGCACTCCACCTGGTCTTTGACATAGAGGGCAACACCCCCTCCTCATATGCCCTGCCTGTCCTTCCTAAAGAGCTCCATTCTAACACTCCAGTCTTAGGAGCTATCCCACCATGTCTCCATGATGCCAATAAGACCACAGCCCTGCAGGTTTGTGCGCACCTCTAACTTGTGATCAGCTTGTGTTTGATAGAGACAAAGGGTACATGTGGGGTTGATTGCTGCACGTTGCCAGTTCTTGCTGGTAACTCTGAGTCTAAGCCCAGAAGTCTGGAGAGAAAGCAGTATCCTTTTAGGAGAGTGTCTTCCAAAAGAATTAGTCACCAGTGTTGCTAAATCAACTACGTGTCTCTTAATCACTCTACTTTTGCTTAAATCCATCATTAGAAAAAGGTATTTGCCAGAGATAGCAAATTGCCATGCTATTTAAAGTTTATCGATTCTTAAAATTACTAAAATGTGGCATTAAATACTACATTATCAGTATCAATTCTCTCTGACCACGAGTAATGAGGTTTTTACTAAACAAGAAATCTTCAGATAAAGATTTGTAGGAACCTCTTTATATTTTACAATATTTAAGAGATTGTCCAATGACAGAGATATTCTTGAACAGAAATTCCCAAGCAGCCTGGCACACCAGCCTGCTCCCACTGGCTTGCAGTGGGGAGCTCTGTGTGTTGCTTCTCAGTGTTCCTCTCCGTGGGAGGCCCCAGTGAACCACCCGCACAATGTCAGCTCCTACCCAGGGAGATGCTGAAGCCCTTTGTGAAGGGCTTCATAAAATGTCTTTTCGTATCACAGATATGCCCTGCAGTATGTTCTCATGTGTCTACACCTAAATGAACACTATGTATCACGCTGTCTTTTGTTAGAGACTTAGCCTGTACTGGGGGAAGCTTTAGTGGTATTTTAAAAAGAAGGCACTAATTCTTTGAATAAAATGGTTTTTTAACAAAAGTGAAGAAAATAAATATATTTCCGTGCACATTTTTAATGAGTTTGCAAATATTAGCTTCTCTTGCCCTTTATTCAGGGAGCTGACTGGCTGATTAAATCATCCTGGTCAAACCCCACTTCAGGCTCTGGGGTAAAGGTTAGACCTGAGCTGCTGGGCTTCAGCTTTGGATTTTTTCTGACACCAAGGAGGGAATTACCAGAACAGTCCAGGCTAATGTTATTGTTGGTGGTCAGGCCATAATTAGGTTTTTGAGAAGACTTGCTGAGAGACCTGACTTAAGCTAGTCAGAGCAAACTTATTGTCAGAACCAAATAAGAGTCTACTGGCCATGGCTGTGGTGTGAGGAGGCTTTAGTCCTCCCTGTGTCTGGCAATGTTCCTGGAAGGCAGGAATAAAATGAAGAGTTGTAGGACACCATGTAGAGATAGGATTGGGCAAATACCCCCCTGTTGTCATGTACTCCTTGGCTGGGAATAGAGCATAGCAAACTTCCATTTAGGTTAAGAATTTTAGGTTCTTCAGTCTCCTGAGGATGAGGAATGGTGATGATGTTCCAGGTCAGGTGAAATGATAGTTTTTTTGGTGGCAGGGAGAAAGCTGGACCTGTGCTTATGGATGTACAGCTACCCTGGATCAGTAGCTGCAGAGAATCTTTGGAGTAACCTGAGTCATGGGGTTAGTAACTCAGTAAGCCCCCTGGAGGGCTACTGAGCCATGGCTGGATGGCAAGGTGGCATTTGTTTGTACTGGCCCATGTGCTGTCAGGGCTTCTTCCATCAGTGTTAGGGCTGGCAGGAGTAGGTGGTTCCCATTACACAGCTTTGGGTTTATGCAAGGGATGACGTTCAGTACAGCACCAGGTCCTGGTTCCCCAAGGAGGTGGGTGTCAATATTCACTGGAACAAAGCATTTAGGAATGTCAACATATTTTACAGGATGGAATTATTTTCTAATTAAACTGCAAGCTCAACATTCTGTGTGTACATGTGCCTGAAAAACTGCTGCTCTCCCAAGAATTCAGCCTTCCCAAATCTGGTCATTAAGATTTCCAAACCTGTATAGTTACATATTTTCATAGTACAAAAAATGTTTTAATTAATGCCATTCAAAAAAAAAAAAAAAAGACAGGAAGTCTGGGTCTGCACTGGTTAGGGGTAGAGCACTGAGTGATGAAGGACTTGCTATGCGAACTGCTCTCTGGTTGTCTACAGCACTTATTATATGCTGGGGATATAGATCATCCTGGTTCTTTCTGGCCTTCAGTCTACAAATCTCTGCAGAAATCCCCCTGCCCCACGCTCTCTTAAGCAGATGGTGAGGCAGATGAAGAGTAGAGAGGCACTACTTCAGCAAGCGCCTTGTTGGTGCCAGAAATTTTAAAAAGCGAGTTGGAGGAAGAAAAATCTTCAACAGCATGGGCTGAAACTTCCTGGTGAGGAGTTCTGTGGTGAAAGGATGCGCAGGGTGGTGAATAGGGAGGAGTGGGGCCTGTGGATCAGTGAATTGACTCTAACTGGAGGAAAAATAGGGAAGGAGGGAAAAGTATGATCCTGAGGTTCAAAGGGTGGGGTGATCTCTGCTGTCTTGAGCAGATGGTTCATCTCTCCCTGGCGTGGGGGATGGGAAGCTTGCACTGTGTTAGATGAGGATAACAACATCCCATGAGAATCCCTGTAAACACTGTGGCACAAAGGACACAAACATCTCAGACAAGTGTGAATTTTGATATGTCAGGTGGGAAAATTAAAATGACAGAGAAGACATCTGAGAAGAGGGTTGGTATCTGGGATCACAGTGATTTTAGCTGTGCCTAGCTGAGAGGAAGGGATACTGACAGGTCAGGGAAAATTCAAGGATACAGGGAGTAGCTTATCAGCTGAGGCAGAGGAAAGCTCTCTGTAAGTGCTGTAGATCTGGTATTTCTCATGGGTTTGGGAGGATGGTGACTTACAGCTGGTCCTGGAGATCTGCACAGTAGGAGAGATGATGTCCTGCCCAAGACACCTTCAGCACTTTAAACCAAAGTCCATTAATAAACATCACAATGCTGTATGTATTCTGCTACTTGTTGGCAAGAGGACAGAAGTGACCTTTTTGTGTTCTTTCCCTCTCCCTGGGAGCCTGATGGGCTGTGATAACCCACTTAGTGGGTGCGTGGGCGGCGGGTGATGGCGTCAGCATGATGAGAGGGAAGCAGCTCATTCCATATCCTCAGCGCTACCACACTAAAAATAAACGCCGTCTCACGTCGGGAGCCTCTGGCTGTGCCTCAGCTCCTCTCGGCTGTTCCTCTCCCTGGCATGTCTGTCAGTGCTGCTCTGCAGCAGCTGATGCACTGCATGCCTCCGAAGCATCTGAGTCACCAGGGACCAGGCTATGGGGAATCTGATGGTTTTGCACGGCAGGGAACACAGAGGAGCCATGGAGCAGCCATCAGGCCCCGCTGCTGGAATTTCAGGGACCAGCGCACCCACAGCAAGCAGCTCTTCTGGGTGCCAAGCTGAGAAGCAGAAGTTTGGCCTCAACCCAGATCAACACCAGCAGCGATGAACTGTGGGTTTAGTTCAACACATCTGACATGCTCTGGCTGACCCTGCTTAGGTAGGTGGTTGGACTGGATTATCTCAGGAGTCCCTGATGTTGTCAGCCAGTGTGTGGTTGTGTGGTACTGCTTGTGTATCCCTCCCCCAGCTCCTGCTGGCCATGTGACCTGCTGGCATAGCCATGCGTAGTTTTCATCATGCTGTTTGTGGTGCTGTCTTCCTCCTCATGAAATCCCAGGGTTCCTCCTCTTATTGAGCAGTGTCAAGCGAGATGGATGCCTCACCTTCACTAAAGCGCAATGAAGTGACACTTTATCTTTAGACTGAGGGAGATTGAGTGGCAGGTGAGGGAGAAAGGAACTTCTCTCTTTTAATTGCCTTTGTGACATGAACGCAAAACCTGTGGCTTCCAGTGCTGCTCTCCCTGAGCTGCCCTATCTCAGAGCTTTTCCCTAAGAAGATAACCAGAAGAAGTTTGTATTGTTTCTTAAATAAAATAAAAAAGGGTTTAACAGGTAGCAGGTCAGAGATTTTAGCATCATTTCAGGCTGAGATGGCATTAGAATAGAGCAGCTTACTGAGGAGGACATCAGTCTCAGACTGCTGTAGCACTCATTTGACCAGGCAGATTAGTGATGGGGGGAACTGGCAGTGCCAGGGTGGGGTCAGTGATGCCTGTGGACTTGGCACAGCACCGATGGAGCTGGGACTCCATGTCATGGGGCAGGGAACAGGAGATTGACTTATCCCTCAGCATCCTCCAGTGTGCTCTTGTGACTGCTGCTGTAGAAGGCAGCGGCACATCGCCTGAACCACATCTGAAATGTTCTTGTGTGGGTGTGAACATAAGAAGCAGACACAGATCTGTGTGTATGTGCATTACTCTTTATGTGGCCTGAGATTTGTTCAACTATCCTAAGAACTGTTTCCATAAAGAAGAGAATATTATGTTGGAAAGCTCATTTTATGTGATGCTACCCTGTTTACTAATAAAGACACGCAAGGAGTTCCTGCATCACAGGAATGACTGAAGTGAAGGTAAGTTTCAACATCTGATGGACAAAGATGAACCTCAGAAGTGCTCTCCCTCAGCTCTTCCATCCAAACTTGACTGCACAAGATGCCTTTTCTGTGTCCTCTTCCAGGTTTTTTCCCTGTGTTTCACTACCTTCAGAGAACCCCCCTGTACCTTGCTTGTGCTGTGTTTTCAAGTGAGTTCAGGTCTTGCCATTTTGCTGTGGAATTGTGATGATTTTACTGTAAAGGAAAGCTGAGACTTCCCACAGCTATCTGGAAAAGGGAGCAATGAGCACGTACTGTGCTTACAGCATGGTGTGTGGGGGCCAGTAACTTCCCTGAAATGTCCTCCTGTACCAACCTGCAGCAGCAGTTGCCATAAGAAGTTTCTATATTTCATAGTTCCTTCCTACTATGTCACATTTTAAATCCCTGAGAACAGCAGGGAGCAGAAGAAAAAGGAAAAAAGTGAATGTCCTCCTGAAACCCTGACTTTGATTTTGGAGGACCACAGCAGATCCCTGAATAAAGCTGGGGGGTTGTCCTGTTATCTTTTCTCTGGTAGCAACATCATACCCCACTCCCTGTAGCTTAGCTAAAGCTGCACTACTATGTCCACTCCCCTCAGTTGCAGATCCCTTGGATCCTTGTTTTGGCAGGGAATCCCAAAATGGCAGTGGCTTCCCTGGAGAACTTTCCTGGCACCTTGCACTGTTCACGACCTGTGCAGCCAGGAATCTTGTTTGTAGGTGAATGCAAGGAACTAATTGAACAAATAAACAGACTAAGAGAAGCAGAAATTCAAACCAGTTTTTCTTGCTGTGTGACACTGAACAGCTTGTCACCTTGCAGGGCTTGGAGTCAAGGGGGTAACACACTGAAAAATTCATGCCAAAGTTTTGAAACATCCTGATGAGGATACACAAGAGAAATAGATCAAAAACAGGAATAAGCATTTTGAAATTGAAATTGAGTAGTTAGGCAAAATGTACACAAGCACAACTTGTTTTTTCAAAGGGAGGATGTGACTTAAAACTCTTGTTTTGTCAAGTAACAAAGACAAGAGGGAAGATTTAGTTCTGGTCACTTTTCCTAATTGCTTCCTCTGTGACTGTGAGATATGCACAGAGGAGGAAAAGGGAGAGGATGGGAAAAGGGGGGGATTTGCACAGTATTTTCAGGATTTTGTTGGTGCCCATGGCAGTGCCAAGGGAGACTTTGGTGACAGGAAGGCCCCTGGACTGTACAGGATGGGTCAGGGTCTCACCTTGCTGGGCCAGATGAAAGGCAAAGCAGCAGGAGAGTAAGATAAAAATAGTGGAGTATGGAAGAAACACAAGGAAGAAGAGTTCACACATCCCAAGGCAGGAACCTTTCAAAGGGCCGAGCAGTTGGTCAGGAATTCCCATCCAGTGTGTTGCCTTGAGCATCAGAAGAATGTTAGACCTTCGAAACTGCGGTCTGATAGGAGTGAAGACCAGTGTGACACTGCTCCGTGACTCAGGGAGTTCTGTCTGTCCTCCCGTAGGCCTCTTGCCCACTTGGTGACCAAGTTGGCTCAGCCCCATTAGTCCTCACTAGGCTCGTTTGGCATCAGTCACTTGGGGTAACCGATTCCCAGCGCCACGCACTGGTTTACTGGAACCTCAGCATCATCCTTGGACTGCATCACTCAGCCCCATTGTTCAGACTGGGCCAGTCCCTCATCTCCCTTTCATGTCTTTTCCTGTAGGTGTTTGTACCTGGGATGTCCTGAAGCTCTCACCTGCTGTTGGCAGCTCAGTATGCAAGTGGCAACTCCTCTGTTTTACAGAAGCTGCTGAAATTACGGCAGCGTGGCTTTTCCCTTACACCTTCATTGAGCAAAAGATGTCAAGTGCAGACACACACACAAAAGTGTGAGCGCATGAGGGCGCTCCCCCGACTCAGCTGCCTTTCCCATCACTTTTTTGGAAGAGAGCAATCAGTCTAACTCAGCCCAATGAGGTGGTGTTCAGTGGCAGAGATTAAGAGCAAGTGCGAATTAAGTGAGTTTCAAAGTGTTTAACAGCAGGTACTTCGCTAGTGTAAATGTTTTGACTCAAAACTTAGTCAGGGTTTTAACCTAAGGAAGCAGCGGGACTGGAACAGACACATCTTTGGGTGGTTACAGGGATACACCTGTCCCAACCTGTGGCACAAAACTGTGAGCTTCTGCCTTACTTGGGAATCTCCATCACTTTTGGCAGGCCTGGGTCCAGTTCAATAGCATAAGCAATGTCATCATGTTCTGTACCCAGTTTGCCCTTTGCAGAGGCACATCTGGCTCCCAAAGGGCACTATAAACCCTGCTGACAGTGGCTTTTGTGACATAACGTTTTCTGGAATGCTTCACCTAAACTGGTATCAAAGCATGCAGCTACAAATAGTGTTTTCTCCCTCCTTTTCTCCTGTGCTTTGCAAGGAGAAAATTGTAGACTGCTTTCTTTACGTTTAATTTTTCTCTCTGGCACTAGAGGGCAGAAGGAAGGGCGGTGGAACCTTGCAACCCAGACCTATCTCAGCAGCTATCCAAGTGTCCAGGAATAAATCTGGCTTGAAAGGCTTTTCCCTTTGCCCATTACGAGTGTGCATCAAGGTTTCATGCCCCAGCCTCTTTAGTGCTATTAAAGTTTAATAGTTTGATGTTATATTTCAGAGGAAACACAATGCAAAGCAACCCTACGTGGTCCTTGGCAGGCACCCTGCCTAAGCGGCACCTCCACTTGCTCTGGAGTAAAGTGGGCATTGGTGGTTTCTGCAGTTTGGGAAATGACTTCATGTGATGGAGGACTTGCTTTTTCCCTTTTGGCAAGGCTGCCTGCCTGTCCTTAGCATCCCTTTTCTTTGAAAGCCTTGTCGCCTCAGCCCAATGCCTGTGAGAGGGTGTTTCACAGCCCCAAAGCAGGGCAGGGGGGAGGTAAATGGGATGTACAGGGCACGATTTGTCTGGGAGTGGTGATGGAGCCACGTTACAAGCCAGGAAATACCAACCCTTAACAGGCTTGAGAGATTTCTCATTAAACCCAATGAAGATAGGGGCCGTTTTCGTGGAGCACACAGACGGATGCTTCATCACATGTTTCCTCTCTCTGCCAGGGAAGCACTGTGTGGGAGCCACCAAGGCTGTGGCACGGAGGATTACACCCCGCCGGGATGCCCCCGGTTCCCAGACTGCCTTTGTCGGGAGGAGAAAAGAGCATGTGAGTGCGGGAGGCTGAGCACCACGTGCCCTGGTCAGGAGGCCTTGTGGCCACTGGGGTTTTTGCTGCTGTCTGTAGATAAGGAGAAGTCTCCGTGGGAAAGCCACAGTGAGTTTAAAGCTAGTTCTGCTTTGGGATGAGGAGAAGCAAAAACCAACTGAACCAGCTCCTTCTGCGTGCCCAGTTGCTGCTGTTCGGTGGCTGAAGGGCGAGGGGCAGGTGGCAGCCCACGGCAACTCCCTGGTTTTATGCCCCTGTTGAACTAATTCATTTCATTTTTCTTCCGATTTTTGCAACGTCTGTGATTAGCATGCATGATACAAGTAATTATTTAATCGGCAAATAAGGCTAAAAATATCCTTCCTTTTTATTTTTTATTCAGTTCATCTCTTCAGCATATCACCTTACCAGTACGAAATGATCTAACATTTGTGGGTAGTGGAGAGAAACTGTATTTCTTAAATTCAAATGAAACCTGCTGAAAAGGGTTTTCACAGTCTGCCACACTTTTTGAGATCAAGAATTTTATTCTGTTTTCCACAGAGGAAAAGGAATCTCAAATATGCTGACAGTAAAAAGGACACTGAAAGAGCTTGTAGATACTAAACTGGTCAGGACACTCAATTTGTGGAAGACCTGACACTGGGTTTATTGTCACCTTATTTTGATCTCTTATGCTGAGTTTTTAAAAAAACCACTGTTTTTTCAAGCAAAATTTTGGTTTCAACAGATCAGCATTTCCTTAAGGGAGAAAACAACTGTCAGATCTCCTGACCACATCCTACCACAGGAGCACCAAATGCTGAGAGAAGCTGGGACCAAACCCAGCACTCTCTTGTCTCACCACATGCTGCAGAAGCACCTGGGTGCTGTCCTGGGCCCCAGCTGTGCTGAAGCTCTGTGCAGAACCACCACAACAGTGGTCATTTATTGAATTATCTTGCAATGTCAGGATGCTGATATTTGCATCCTGGAGGTAGTTTAGCAGGTCAGTTTTGTTCATGGTCTAATGCATAGTTCTTCATTCCTGTAAGGACCCATGCTGCTGATCCTCAGGAGCCACTGCAGTGTCCAGCTCCTTCTCCTGGCCCTAGGGGAGATGAATGGAATGACAGTATCAAGGAAGAGGTGTCTGTTGGACCCAAACTCTACTTTATGTTTGGACAGATGGCACTTCTGCAGTGAGGCCTGACTGCAGAATTAGACTTTGCTTAACTCAAATACTATTATCTTTCTGAAAGAAAACCTCAGAAATCTCATACACAGATTTTCAGGCAAACAAGTAATCCATTGGCTGAAATGGATTTGTAAGGGTTGTTCAGCAAATAACACATACATTGATATGAATTAGGATTATTTCCCAAATAACATGTGAAAACAAAAATGTTTGTCATAAACTGTAAATAAAGAGTAATTGATCAAACCAAAGCAAAATATGTGAAAGGGGCATCCAGACAGGGTTTTTTCTGTAACATCAACAAGATTTCAAGCGACTGAATAAGTACTTGAATGTTTTCCTCAGGATAATATTTGGAAGATGTTAGGAATATAGGAACAGAAACATAGAAATATGGGACAAGCATAGGAAACTATCCTCACTTGCAAGGAATGAGATTTATTACTTCTCTAGTGGAAATAACCAATTTCAGGCAGACAGTGTTTGCGTTCAGTCCTGTTGGCCTTAAACAGCCGCTGATCAATCTGTGTTTGGTCTGTTCCGTAGCAAATGTGTCAGACCAATGGGTCTCATGGACAAGAAACTTCAGTTTTATGTCTGACAGTATTTCTATATAGCATAAACAGTACCAGCAACCTCAAAATCCCTGCAGGGAAACTGCTAACAGTATGTCTGTCTCATGAGATCACTCCATGGGAGAGATGCCCATCTTTCCTAAAATTCCTAGGGTCCAAGAGTCACCAGGTCCTCTTACTGTTTGTCAGAATAAACCAATGCTTGGCTGTTCATAGAGGGCTCTATGAAATAATTTCAGTAATAGAACATTCGCACATTTCTACCCTATCTTTTTCCTTCAGCTGGAAGCTCTTTAGGACAGACACTTTATTCCTTCATCTTCACCTGAGGGGACTCCTAATAAGATGGAAGCTTGAAGGAGGATGGCACAGGCTTCTTTGAATTGTATTTCTTAGGGAACTGGTAGCTCCCCACATTGTTTTGTGGCGCAGTGCAAAGTGTGTCCCAGGAACTGTGCCAAAGGACAAGCATAGTTCCGGATAACCAAGGCTTCCTCCAGCCCCACACATCAGCCTAGGGCTCTGTCTAACCCACCTGTGGCATCTCTAGCACACAAAAGCCATCGCTGTGGTTTGTAATAAGACAGCGCGCTCAAGACAGCCAGATAAATGCAAGCTGGATAACTCACGTATGTTTGCTGGAAAAAGGGGAAAAATGGAGAGCAAAGAGGATTTCTGTGAGCTTCCCTCCTGTGGGGTATGATACCACAGCTCTGTTGTTCCAGCCAGTTTTTAGGAAGTGAGAGGAGCATTTCCAGGATCTTTCACAAGGGCAGCTGGGGGCACAGAGTTACTGTTGGCCTGGCAGCAGCTGTCCCAGCCTGTCCCTCCATCTCTCTCACACCATTGCAGCAGATGGTCACCTCCACAGACCAGTACACGCCACTGCTCCACATGCCCATTCTGCTCCCAAAACCTGCCTCTTAAAGCCTCTGCTGGAAATATTCAAGCCAAAAAAAGTGATTAACTTAAATGGACTGATGAGAGCCCAATGCAGCTTGACCCTCCTGCCTTTGGCTGTTTGGCCACATAGGCCTGAGGGGATGCTAAGAAATCTTTCCAGGTGTTCATCACCTTCACAGTCTCAGAGCCCAGGATGGCTGTCAGCAGAGCAGGTGGGACAAACAGGCTCCTCTACTCCACGTAGCTCAGCATCGTTGTGTTGGCAGCTCCTTCTGTGCAAGATGGAAAGGGGAGGAAAATCTGTATCTCTGAGCAACCATCACTGTTTCTTTTTTTTTAAAGGCTAAAGATAGACTCCATATGGGCTGTGTGTAGTGCACTCCGACCATACATACAGTGGATCTTTCCTCTTGGCATTTTTTCAGGAAGCAGTAGACCTATGATGAGAGGCATCCCAGTGGTAGAACTACTCTTCCAACAGCCTTGACAGTGAGCGCGCTGGAGAATGACCCTTCTGCCAGGTCAGGACAATAAAATACACTTTTATCAACTATGCCTTACAAATATGACATGATATTGCAAAATACTCTCACCACTATAGAGAGGAGAGATGCACACAAGAAGGGAAAGGAGGAAGTGGTTTTTTTCCTGCAGCCCCTGGAATGGATGCAGGGGAGAGTGCTAAAACTCTCCTCCTGCCCAGCAGGACATGTCCAGGCTCACTGAGACAGATCCAGCCTCTTGAATGATGCAGCAGCATAGCCAGCCCCTTTCCTCTTCTTTTTTTTCATGAGGAGACAGCCAAAGCTGAGGGAGGTCTGGGGCTCATGGGTGGGGAAGGGGACCTTGAGGGCCAATCACAGTTAACCCTACATGGAGCAGATATGCAAAGGTGATATTGGTGCTCAGCACCACTGCCCTGCCTCTCCTGCAGTGCCTCTCCTGCAGTACCACACCAGAGCTGTCTGTGCAAGCCCAGTCCCATAGATTTGTCACGTGGAAAATTGCAACACACAGCATCTCTGCACAGGAGAGGGACCACGCTGCTACTGAGGGCTGTGATATCCAGAGGGGTGGCCTGTGGCTGGCACATTTGCCAGTCACAGACTCTGTCTCACCCATTTTGGGGGTTGCTTATCCAAAAACGCACATCCACCATGTGATAGAAGAGCAGAGCTTCCTCTGTGGGGAGATGAAAGTGGGGATTGCTGCGTAACTCTTCTCGCAGTTTGAAAAGCCAACAGAGAGAAAAATGAGATCCCTTTCATGGTTTTTTGCTGATTAGTTCTGTTAGCAGGGCTTGTATCATCTGTACTGTCTGCTTACAGAAAATAAACAATTCCCACCTGACTATTACCGTTTCGACAACATTTTTTTTCTGAAACCTTTGTCATCTTCAGATTTCTGCGTTAAGGAGAGAGGAAGACTGTTTAAGGGAATGACGGACACCAAGACAGAAGTAAGACGGTTTTTATTCTGTTTTGACTTGTTTTACCTTGACATTTCTGTACCTCAGATGTGCAGCCAGCACACAGACCTACCAAAAGGTGCTCTCCAGCCACCACTGATGACCCAACATCTGAAGGTTTTTGGGTGTTCCGGGCATGGAAATGGGAGCAAACATCAGGGCTGAAGAAGGAAGCTTTAGCCTACGAGCAGTGTTTGCAGGGCTGGCTCTCCCACTGCCGTGGTTTGGTTCCCGTTCTTTGCGGTCCCTGATCAGCACAGAGCTGCTCTGCTGCGGGTGCAGGCACAGGGCAGGAGGGGAAGCCTGGTCCCAGGGAAAAACAACAGAAAAAATGTGCAAGGCAGCTGGAAATTGCAAAATTCAAAATCCAAGTATGGAGGCTTCCTCCTCTGATCATGCATAGCACAGTATGGCATTTTTTAGGGAACTAACCTGTCTTGGCTTACATGTGCATGAAGCCACAACAGCTCCAAGACACAACTTTGCTTTTCCCTGTGTATCTGTAATAGCTCCCTGTGGTTTTGGATATCAAAAAGCCTCTTCCAGTGGGAACCACTACCCAGTACAGAGGAGTTTCTCAGTGGTTGCAGTGTACAAGCAGGATGCTTCCTCCTGTCCCATGTTTGATGTGTGTAAAAAGGTGCCTGTTGTGGAGACAGCTACCTGCACACAGCCTTTTTCCACTGCTCGTTTTCTTTTCCCCAACCTACTGAGCTGTGAATTCCCTTATGCACCAGTGGAGCTACTGCTCATTAAAACTAATCAACTGAGCAGATGCTGAAGAAAAGAATGGGCCAGGAATAAAGAGAACATTGGTCATACATCGCCAAAAAATCTCTGCAACAGGCTTTTGTAGTTCACTGAGTTTTCATTCTATTCCAAATCAACATGCAAACCAGCTCCACCGGGAGGAGAGCGGTTCAACAAGGAAAAGGAACTTCAAATTATGAAGGATTGATTGCCAAATGATACAGAGGGAGCCCATTATATAAAATATTCTGCACCGAACAGAACTTGCAAAGCAGTAATGGATGTAAGTGCCACCGCAGCCATAATTGGTAAAATGAAAACTCCCTGCCCATGCCCTGAACATCCACCTGCAGTACGGGAAGCTGAGAAGGATGCTCTTGCTTTCAGTAAATTGATACACATTGCAGAGAGGAACCAAGCTCAGAAAATGTCCTACATTAAGTTAATATTTGAGTATACAAATAACTTAGGTCCAAAATTAGCCTGCAGTTGCATTAGTGTAAATGCAGCACAGCATCACTGGGTGGATAGGAATTTCTGGACTGTAAGTGGAGGGAGGATTTGGCCCTTAGAAGACTGTAACGGGAAGAAGGGAGAGAGTGCATTCTGTTATCTGGCTTTGCAGGAGAATTGATAGTGATTTCTGCATAAGCATGATGCTCCAGATGGCACTCTGGTGAGAGCCCTGACACGCAGCAAAGGCGAGGCTCAGGTACCGGCCTGCAGTGCCAGAGCCCACCAGTGAGACTGGAAAAATATAGCAACAAAAAGTAAAGCTGTGTTTGCTAAGGTCGTTTTTTCTAACAATTCCAATTAAAAGTCAACACAAGAACATTTTTAGCATGTCAAACATACCTGCTGTTTTTCTGGCAGTGATGCATGAGGGGTTTCATTTTTCATCTGTTTACTTTGGTGATTCTGCCTGATGCCCTGACAAACACACTTTCACTCCTAAAGAAATTTTTTTCTTTTGTTTATAACTTTAATTTTTAATAAAAATCATGGGGTCTCTTTAGCTTCCAATTCACATCAACACCTTTATGAAATGCTGTATTTGTTTTCAGTATTTGACTAAGATACAGAACAGAAGAAATGTTTTGTGACATTTTATTTGAATACAGTAAAGATTTCTGGTGACATTTCTATCAAACTAGCTCAAACCTCTTCAGGAATAAATTTCCTCTTTCTCTCTTTTCTTGTTTCTTTGCTTCTTACACATTCCTGATTTTTTATTTCTCTTTGTTCTTGTTTGCATATTTTTTAAGTGGTTTTTATAGCCAAGAACACAAATGATTCACAATTAAGAGTTGTGCAAATAGCAAATTTTACAGGTTAGTGGTCAAGTTGGAAATTGAAGGGTCAGTGAACTACACGCATTTGGAGCTGATTTGAAACACAGTATTTCATCAGGAGCTAATTTTTACCCCCTTTAAGAAGTTAGCTCAGCATCAAACAAGAGCAAACATTGCATTTTGCAAGGCCATGAGTCCATCTTTCCTGATTTTTTTTTGTTGTCTGAAACTCATTGCTAGGTTTCATTCCCTGAACCTGTGCTCTGTGGAGGTGCATGCAAGACTGCTGGGAGAAGGGATAATAGCACAGGATGAGGAAGAGACACTTTCTTGGAAACAGATTTCCTGGGTCTGTAAATTGGGAGTGAAGCCAGGATGGAGGATTAAGGTCTGAGTGTCCTCGTGCGTTTTGTGAGTTCATCCAGATTTCCACATTGGGGATATGTCCTTCTGTAATTAATGGGCCTTAAGCTCAAATCTGAATAGGAAGCTTGTGAACAACCCTTCCTGGAGCCAGACTTTTGTAACCCTGGGACTCAGCTCTACTCAGTCTCAGTGTTGCTAAAAGCAAGTTGTTCTTTTTGTGGTGCTGCCAAGAGGAAACACTCGGGACTGATGGGAGAATTGAGTTCCCAATGCAATCATAGAGCAAAGACTTTGAATACCCAAATCCCCAAAATTCCATGTGTCCTCTCTTTTGTTTTCTGCCTCCCTCTACATATTCCTCTCTCTCACTCTTCTGGTTTCCTTCTTTTGCCCATGAGAGCCTTGGTTTACTTCCTCAAGCTCAGCATGGATGAAGCAGCTCCTTCCCTCCTCTGCAGGCAGAAGAGGGGGTGGCATGTGTCCCCTTTGCTTTTTATGTGAGTAATATGAGGGTCCCGTAGGAACATCTGTTTCCCTAATAATTATTATTTCTGATGAGGTTCAAATGCACAAGACCTTTCTGCACATATGCTGCAGGTCTTAGTGGCTTCCTGGTGGTTCTGAAGCAGACCCCTGTGAGGTCAGATGGCCGACATGCAGGTGGCTTAAGAAGACAGGATCAGATTCTCATACCCTACAGAAGTCAGGGGCTGATCCCTTTTCCTCATCCATAATATCTCTCCTGGGCTTTTCTTCACCACCCCATTCACTGTCATATCCCATATGTACAGCATCTCTCTTTCTCCCAGTAACTCTTTTCTTTTCTAAGCCTGTTTCTTTCTGTTTACTTCACTCCATCATTCCTGCTTCTCTTTCCAATTTTTTTTTATGTTTTGCCACCTTTTCTCTGTTTATATTTTCAGTAACCTCAATCTTGTGATGGGGAGAAGAAATAAAAATAACAACAAAATCCCTTACCCTTTTCATTTTTTAGATCAAAGATGACTGAGCAACCAAGGGGGAGAATTCAGGGCAGCCTTTGATGCACAGTATTGATGTTGGCTTAGCATGAAAATCTCCTTGTGCTGTATTTGGGCTAATTATCAGAGGTCTATACAATTAACCTGAGACACATTAGCCCCATGTGAAGCAATGAAATTTAAGGCCTAGGGAGGTTAATTCAAATCTTAGATGTTTCTGTGATAGGAGATTACTTGCCCCATTCCTTTGTATTTGCTAGGAATCTTTGTGCTGAAGATTCTGATATTCCATCGAAGCTGTGCTTGGCAGCCTGGCTCTCACTGAGATCTTTGATTGCCTGCCTGCATTGTTGGACTCAGAGCCCTGTAACTGTGCTGTTTCTGCACTAGAGGTGCTTTTGCTCTCACACCTTCCAGCTTCTCATGAGAAACACTTCACTGGCATCTGAGCTTCTGCAGCACTCCTCACAGCAATGAGACACCACCTGACCTCTGCAGCCTCCTGGCTCTGTTGGTTTTTTTTGATTTTTCTTCTTTGTACATATTTTCTGCTGACAAAGTTTTGGTCAAGACAAGATGTCACACGGCAGACATGGGAATCTCTGAGACCCACAGTTTTGTCTCCAATGGATGCTGGAGTTTTCTGACTCCAGCCACTCCTCAGAAAACTAAGTTTTAGTTGTAGCTCTGAATATAATCCTTCTCCATGCAGGACATGTGAAACTGCACCAGTGTCCAAGGTGGGGCTCCCCAGTACAAGACAATGGCAGACTGGACTGAAAGCTACCAAAACAGTCAGGGAAACCTTTCCTTTTTTTTTAAATTCTCAGGTCTCAGTGTATGATTTGATTCTGTAAGGACATCGTGGCTCAGATCCACAAAATGATGCATCCAAATGTCTGAATCTCTTCGGGTTCATTCACTTGGAGCTGCAGTGAAAAAAGACCCCTCTTTACGGTTTACCTCCTTGGAGCTGGCTGGTGTTTCCACAGGATCAGATATGTGAATATCTGGAAGATAGCTCACCCATCCCTCATACCATCCTCTCCCGGTGCTTGCTTCTTTACAACAGGCTTTTCCCATGCTCCAAGGCAGGACAGCCAACCTCTTGCCTCTTCCTCACCTTGTCCTTGAGAACAAAGCTGGTCCCATTCGTCCGCGCTCTGGCACTGGTTCAGGGCTAAAAGCCAGCCTGAGGTGCACCAGCCAGTCTCCAGAGGAATGGTTTGGAGTTACAGTTCAGCAAGAATATTTGCCTTGCAGGTGTCCTGAAACTTCTCCTGGAAGAGCACAGACAAGGCCTGGACTATATCAGAGCCAATGCTCTACACATTCCCCCTCCAGGGGCTGCAGAAGCTTCTTCTATTACTTGTAGTCTGGAGTGGAGCCTGCTGGCACACACAACCCTCCTCCCCTTTTGTGGCCTCTGAGGCAACTGACAGTGCTTTTATCTCCACCTGATAGGTCTATGATCAGACATCACTGGGTGGCTGATGTGGTTTCCTACAGGGACCTTCTCAGGACCTGAAGCTTGTTTCTGCAATCAGGTTTCTTCTAATGGAGAAGGAAACACTCCTCAAGCCCTTGGCATAATCAATCCCATATATCAGTCACGGGCTCACCTTTTGTGGGTTGGAGGCTCCTTATCTTTTATTCCTTTTATGCACCACTAGGCTATGATGAGAGCTTTGTCAGCACTTCTACCTTTTGTCCTTCTTTCCTATTTGTATGGTCCGTCGTTTAATGGCTGGTGTCATTCCGTTCTGG